AATGATATATTTTTTTGAAACATCCTCTAGGTCTTTTAAAAGTTAAATGTTTATTTGTTGATAAAATAAGATAAGTATAGATTATTAAGGCTATTCATGAAAAAGGTAATTTGTAACTTTGTTTTAGCAGAAGGATTTCTACACCCAATTTAAAATATTTTTTATAAACAAATAAAACGTCTTTAGTCTGTTTCGGAATGAAATTCTATCTACTGGTGCATTTTAAAGTTTAAAAAAACATTTAGGGACATAACAATCACTTACACTTTATGCTTTCGACTACCAAAATCTATCTATTTAAAATATACAGTTCTAAAATAAGGTATTTTTTTAGGTTAATTAATGACAGTTTTGGAAGCCACAAAACCTTTTAAAAATATTAGTAATGAAAATATACGGAATAAACACCACATATAATGGACATATTTAGATGGAAATAGCACTTTTAAATATATCCAAAATATTACTGTATGGTAGGTGTTGTTTTATTATATTATTTCTTTAAAGCTTTCCGATGAAATTAGCCTACTTTAAATTTTAAAATAAAAATAAACATTTTTATTTTAACCTCAAAGATCTGTTGCGAGTCGAAATAATATATTTTTCTACTATTGTGCGTAAAGTACGTACGTTATGCGCACTACGGAGTGCATAAAGTTTAACTGTTTTCACTAGTACATAAAGTAAAACGTTTTCCGCACTAGTGCGTAAAAAAATTTTTTTTAGTATTTTGTCATAACAAATGACATATTTTATTTTAAATTTTCTTTACGCGCTAGGGCATAAAGTAAAACAGTTCACTCACTACCGCGTAAAGTAACCTTTGTATTTCTAATTTTAGTGGGCAATATGTACGGCAGTAGTAATATTTTATGCAATTCGTATGTAAAGGCCTTTTTTGAAGGTCACTTTATACGCTTATTATACAGGGTAGCTGTTAAAGATGGAACCAAACCTATAGTGCTTAAACGGTTCAACATACAAAACCCAAAATTTTAGAATTTCATCTAAATATATTTGCGCATATTTTAGCCCAAAAATTATTTTTTTTTATAATTACAAAATTTTAAGCATAGCCGCCATCTTTATTCTTTTAAATAGCAACATAGGTCTTGTGATATACTACTTGAAAGGGTTTAACACCCTGATTACAAAAATGTATTACACATGGGGTCTAAACCCAACAGAAAGGATATTTATAAACGTTTTTGTAATAATATTTGACGTCTTGTGTCAAGTGCACAGCCTCCTACGCTCCCTATTACTATTTAAAAAAATCAAAATGGCGACCATGCTTAAAATTTTGTAATTATAAAAAAAATAATTTTTGGGCTAAAAGATGCGCAAACATATTTAGTTGAAATTCTGAAATTTTGGGTTTTGTATGTTAAACCGTTTAATCACTAGAGGTTTGGTTCCATCTTTAACAGCTACCCTGTATGTATAAATAACTATTTTTTGTTATGTTGTTCATCAGTAGTTGACTGATGTAGTGGTTACAAGCGTTGAAATCGTATGAATGACAGATACGCTCAAGAAATTTAAATTTTCAATAAAAACGTGGGTTTCCATTTAAAAATTAAAAATAAATTGCGATTTACTGTTAGTTTCGAAAAACCGGGAGTAAGCTATGACGTCACAGAGCAGCTGAACCCAGTATATGACAGTATTTGTTCCAAGCTTTTACACAAAAAAGGTTTTATTCTGATATCTCAATTAACAACGAAGATAAAAGCGGATAGAATTATTAAACGGTTTGCTAATAATAAAAATGCTTAGATACGCCACTGGTATACGGTAAATGGGTCTCAATAAAAATTTTAAAGATAAAAAAGATATTATAAAGATTATGCATTCCTATATTTTTTCCATAAACGAATTAATTGTAACATGTTTAGAAAAAATATTATCCAATATGGCGATCATTTTGACAGCTGACAGAAGATTGTCAATACACGATTATACAAAAATGTTTTAGAAATTCAAATGTACAATAAAAAAAGTGGGTTTCAATTTAAAAATAAAAATAAATTGCAATTTTTTGTAATTTTCGGAAAAAGAGGAAGTAAGTCATGATGTCACAGAATAATTGAATCCATCATAAAAAAGTATTTGTTCCAGTCTTTTAAACAAAAAAAATATATCGATATCTCAATGAATAACGAAAATAAAGGGGTGGAACTTTTAAGTGGCCCACCTTGTATACCAAAGGCGTGGCAGAATGTAAAAGATATACTTCTTTCTAAAGTAAAAAAGGTTTAATGATACCAAAGTCGTGCCGCCCCTTGAGTCTATCGTCATTCATACTACAAACGTTACAAAGAGTAATAGATGGATATACGAAATAAAATACAGAGATAAAATTCTTTCAGCGATCCTCAATATTTATATCAGCGAGGAATGTCAATAGATTTTGCTTTTGTCGAAATCTCTGGAGGACAACGAAATGGCTGTAGCCATTTTCTTATATCATGAGGGATCTTTTAATAATGCCCATACAAGATCTATAATTAACGCACTATCAACGAATAAGGTACTAGTGGTCCTAGTGGATTTAAGCCAGCCTAGAACAAAGGGTAATAGCAGTATCTCTGGACGAAGATACACTGATTACTAAAGCAGGCAAGGGCTGTCCCCAGGGAGTACTATCACTCTTGATTTGATCAGTAGACAAACACATAGAAAGGCTAATATCTACAGACTTCTAATGATTAGGTATGCTAATGACCTGGCAATCGTTATAAGAGGCAAGATCGCAGGTTTGGAGGGCATACAAACCTCTCTAAACATCGTTGACAATTGGTGCAGGGAGGAAAAACTAACAGTAAACCCTCACCAAACCACAATACTCAACTTTACAAAACGAAAGGTACTGACAGACTAAAGTCATCAGTATTAAAAGGAGTGAAAATTTCATTTGTTCAGGAGGCCAAATACTTTAATAATTAACCACAGGTTAACATTGAATTAACACTTGCAAAAGGTACCCAAAAAAAAAACATACTTTAACTTATGTCGAAGGTTATGTAGAAAAAAATTGGGTACTACAACCAAAAATGTCTCTGTGGTTGTATACCATAGTCATAATGCCTATGATGACCTACGGGTTGGTGGTATGATGACCAACGACTCGGAAAACTGGCCTAATGGTATTCAAAGGCAAGAATACTTGAGTATCAGGAAAGTCATTAAAACGACTCGAACAGCAGCCCCAGAAGCTATCCTAAACCTAAGACTACTATATAAATTCATTCAAGGCGTAGCAATTAGCCATAATCAATTAGCATGGACCTAGCTACACCGAGCTATGAAAAGAGAATGACCAAATAATGGGAAATGCTCCCAAACTATAGCGTTTAAAAGAACCCCCTATTCACACAGCCTTTATCTGATATTCAGACGGCTCCAAAACCCATGAAGTGTCAGGTACCAACCAAAGACAAGAATCTCACTGAGCTTAGGTAAACATGCGACATAATTTCAGGCAGAAATAGCAGCAATACATCACTGTGCAAAAGAGAAAAATGGAAAAAACCATTGCCATATACTCAGACAGCCAAGCGACATTAAAAGCATTTAGTTCCACGCAGGTACATTTAAAGTTCGAAAACCTTAACAGAACTGGGTAGTCATAACAGACTAACTTTAGCCAGAGAGGATATAGAGATAAGAATAAGGCTGATTTATTAGCCCGAGAAGAAGCCTCAAAGGCTCTTATTAAATAGAAACCCTTCTATGGTGTCATAGAGACAGCTATGCATAAAGCAGTGGATGATAAAAAAATCTCAGATATAATGGAAAAACTCACCACGACAGAAACAGACAAAAAAGTTCTTAAATGGATCATCGCTTAAACTCACTGTGCTATACTAAGCCATATTAAGAAAAATTACTAGTATACAAACCATAGCTACCAATCAGAGATTTGAGGTGATTGCTGTCGATTTATTTTGACCACTCCCGATGAAGAAGGATGGCAAGAAATGGATATATATTATTGAAGACACCACCAACCAGTAGATTGAATTATTCGCTCTAAAAGATGCTACCGCTGAATATTGCGCACATGTGCTAATCGAGGAAGTATCTCTTTGCTACGGATTGCCTGGACGAATAATAAGTGACAACGGACTACCGTTTGAATCTGCAGTCATGCAAAAACTCACTTTCTGTTTGGGTATAAAACAAGCACTAATCCCTGTGTACCACACAGAAGCCCATCTAGTTGAACGAAATAATGGAGACCTAAAGACTCAATTAGGTATATTAGTTGGCCAAAAGCACAGGTCATAGCCTTGATACCTAACGTCCATAAGATTAGCAATAATTAACAAAGTTCGATACGGAAGTACTGCGCATACAGGGACATATTTGACTTTTGAACGGGAGTTGAGGACTTTCCAAGACGTAACTGATGACTTAATCACCATTGTACACAATGTTATCGAAATCACGCCTAAGCTACAAAACTTAGTAATATTCTTACGATTGGCAAAAGAACTTATCGAACAGCGACAAAAAAACCAAGCGTATGTAAATAAACATAGGCGACGCAGTCTATATTATTCTCATAGCAACTGAGTATGAGTTAACTCATACTTCCTTAGAATGCTGTAAATTAATTTTTTTTTAAACTTTTTTAGTTTTATTTATTTTTATATTTATTTTATTCTAGTCGATAACCTTGTGCGCCCTATGTCGCCAAAACCTTGACAACGAAATGACCTGGATTTCCAGGCATTAAATATTTACATGCAAATTTGGTATTAACTTTTTTACTGTTGATTGTGACTAATGTATACATTGTGTTCCTTTTTTAAATTTATAGATTTACTTAACCGATTCCTCTTTTATTTGATAGGATTCCCTCTTCCCATTTCCCTCTCCCCCTTTCCCTTTCTCCTCTTCCCCTTTTTCTCTTCCCCTTTCCCTTTTCCCCTTCTCCTCTTCCCCTTTTCCTCTTGCCCTTTTCCTCTTGCCCTTGTCCTTTTGCCCTTTACCTCTTGCCCTTTCCCTCTTCCCCTTTCCCTCTTCCACTTTCCCTCTTCCCCTTTCCCTCTTCCCCTTTCCCTCTTCCACTTTCCCTCTTCCCCTTTCCCTCTTTCCCTTTCCCTCTTCCCCCTTTCCTCTTCCCCTTTACCTCTTCCCCTTTACCTCTTCCCCTTTTCCTCTTCCCCTTTTCCTCTTCCCCTTTCCCTCTTCCCCTTTCCCTCTTCCCCTTTCCCTCTCCCCCTTTCCCTTTCCCTTTCTCCTCTTCCCCTTTTCCTCTTGCCATTTCCCTCTTGCTCTTTTCCTCTTCCCCTTTCCCTCTTTCCCCTTTAAAATATGAAAATCCAAAACCCTCAAACACGTCATTATTTATTTGTGATGGGCAGCTATAATTACTATTTTTAAGTTTTTACCTTAAGAAAAAACGATACTTCCATACAAACTTTCCACCCCCGTTTCCTCCACTTAAAATGAGAAAATCCAAAAACCCTGAAACACGTCATTATTTATTTATGCTTGTAGTTATATTTCAAATTTTCATGTTTCACTACCACTAGAGCAAAATCATGTCTGATCCCTTGCTCTATGAAAACAAAACAAATCTATCCCACGGGAAGCGTACATTTTTCCGGGATAAAACTGCCTATGCGCTATTCCAGACTATAAACTATCTTTGTGCCAAATTTTATCCTGATCCGTTCAGCCGTTCTGGCGTGATTGAGTAACAAACATAGATCCATCCATCCATATATTTTAACTTTCGCATTTATATATTAGTAGGAATACTATTCAAATTTGATGTACCCCCCCCCCCCCCCCCCCCCCCCCCCTATAGAGGGTCCTTGCGTCACCATTTCCGCTTTAGTATTGGCGCTGATCACCATTTACTATTTGGTTTTATTCACTTTCTTGATGGAACCCCCCTATAGTATTCACCACTGGATGTATTTACATGTGGATTGTGGATTACTATTATACAACAGCAAAAAATATCACCAGCAGTTTTAAAAGGTACTAAACTTAAAATAAAACACTATATTTAGATAGCGAAATAAGAATTATACATATACATATGAAATTGTGTAGAAAAATGTAAGACATTTTTAAGAAAAAATTAAAGCACGCCCTTTTTTGCTATAATTAATATAAACTCATGAGGAAAACTAAAGTAGGTATAGGTGTGGCAATATCATGTACATTAAATTATTCAAATGACAATTTATATACAATAATAATTTTTCATTTTTTATAGTTACTTCACGCACCTGTCAAAATCACCAAATAAATTGAGTACTAACAATTACTCTCATACATAAAATCCTTGTAACAGGTGTAGCTCTTGATTAATATTAATGTAAAATGTTTTCAGTGACACTGTCCAGAAAAGATTCTTTAAACATATTTAACAATGGAGGCATCAGTTTGTTACAAAAATACCCTACAGCTAATTTTTCGATACTACAACTATCCTTCATACATTGTGAAATTTAATAAATTTTTTATTTGTGTAACATTTGATCAAATTAACATAATTATATATGCAGAATAAAAAAATACGTGGTTGTATTAGAGGATGTAATTTTGATAATATTATAATAATGATATTCAAAATATAACCATAAACAATGCCCGAAAGTGCTAAAAACGTTTCATAATATATGTAAGTAACGACTAAGACTAGATACCTAAAAACCTCGATAGACAGATGTATCAAATACGCTAGACTGAAGTCCATATATGTATAGTGAGAATTAATAATTTTATTTATTATATTTTTTATTGATAACATAAGTACACTATAGTAAAAATGTGTTTGCTGTTGTTATCAAAATTCAAATATTTTCTCTAAAAAGATGCCGAAATACTGACAAATTCTGTCGAAGTTCCTGAAATTATCACGAAAGTCCCAAAACCATCATTTAAATCATAAACAAAATCATCACCGAATTCATTACCGAAATTAACACCGAAATTAACACGGAAATCATCAGAGAAATCATCACTCATCACAAAAATCATCACCGAAATCATCACGGATATCATCATTAAAATTATCACCGAAGTCATTTCTAAATCAATTTTTTGTCCCGAAATATAAACGCAGCTGGCGGTGGATCAAAAAACAAGTGATCACATCCCCCAAAAGAAGATCAAACAAGAACAAGAATAATAACAATACCAATTTCTCGTTCACTCTCAAAATGACCCGGTGTTTTGCTGGGGCCTTAAAAAATATTTAACTTTACAAAATACATAAAAACAACTTGTAAGTTTTAATTTTCTTTATTGAAAATTATTTTTTAAAAAATTAAGAACTACTTTTAATATGTCTTTATTGATCAAAGTCAAGCTAAAGAATAATGTATATATTTACATTTAATCCACACCTATGTTTATCTCTAGGAAAATTTATAAAAGTATGATATGATAAAAGTTATTTACAGGAAGTATTTATTGTCTATATAGCAGTTTTAGCAACACGTAACTCCTCCCTCCTTAAGTTTCGAAAAGAATGGAATGACTTTTCGAATGGGCTTCCATCGGAATTTCTTCTGTTTTTTCAATTTTCTTTTTTCTGCATTTCGGAATTTTGTTCTTGAATTTTAATATAGCTGCGACGATTAGGCCGGTAATTAAAAGTCCCAAAATTGTTCCAAATATAGGTGTATCCATTTGAGTACTTGAGCTTTCTTGAATCGGTTTTAGTTTTCTGGAGATTTCGTTGATTTCATACAGACTATCAAAATCAATTTTGGTAATATTAGATCTTTGATAATGTCCGGATGTGTGTATGTGATCCGTTTGAAATTTTGGCAAAATAAATGGTTTTCCTTGAGTAAGTTGAATGTCGTTAATGTACTTCTGTTCGTTGGCCCATATTTCGCAGGTTTTCGGGATTTTGATTAAAATCGGGTTCACTACTTCTAGATATCGATTACTTTTACATTTTGATAGAATTTGTTGCGCTTTTGCTGGTATTATCAAGACTTCGTCTGTGGTAACTTGTTGAACGATCATTTCTTGAACATTAACTTCTAAGATATGGCAATTTTGAGGGATATGACCTTCCAGTAAATTGAGGGTGCAGTTGTCCCTTGGAATAAAATTTTGTTGACAGTAGTAACAATTTTCTAGTGCTGGGCATTCTTATTTTTCGAATTGAGTTTCCTTTTGTTCTCGTGCCAAATAGGGGAAAGTGGGAGTATATATTTTGTGATTTTGAATTATTGGATACAAATGATAAAATTCAAAAGTTTCGGGTTTAAAGATAGGAATATGAACTGCAAAAATTAATTTTGAATCGGATATTGATACTTGAGTTCCTAGAAATTGGTAATAAGTTAAAATATTTTTGAATTTAGGAATTTGATTTTCATCGTATATTCCATGTAACTGATTTATCATATCTATTATTTCTGAACTAGAAACTATGGAGCTATGCAAGGAGTTAAGTTTAGAGAATACAATAGCGTTTTCTAAATTATCGATAAATGTTATAGTTGCTTGACAATCTAGATTAAGCTCGGATAGAACACCTTGAAAGCTTAAATAACTTTCGAGAGTTTCTATTTTATTGTAAACTGATGCTGAAAATTTTTCCAAATCATTATTAAACTTTTCTTGATTTTTACTCAAAATAGAAATTGATTTATTGTAATGATCTATAAGTTTTTTATAGAGTGAAATTTGTAAGTTAGTTTCGTCAATTAGGTTTTTCTGATTCTTTTGTAATAAACTGATAGCTTGGTTATATTTGTTTTCATCGTCCGAATCTAGATTTCCAAAGAGCCATTTATTCAATTTTCCAATGCCATTAATTAGGCCTCTTTTATTACGGATATGTGGATTTAAATTATTAAATTTTTTCTGAATAATATTAATTAAATATTCCGTTCTTGTTAGCATGCTTTGAGATAACCCATGATATGATACGGGGTTTGTAACATTTACTTGCGTTATACTACCTAATACTATTCTAAAATGTTGAACTAAACTATCTATTTGTTTAACAAGGGTACTTAAATCTACGTAGTGTAAAAAGGTATGTTTACTATAAACTAATCTAGCATTTCCTAATTGGATAGGAAGAAGCAGGTTTTCTAATTTAGTAATTTGTATATCTTCTCCATTACAGGTCATTTGATGTACCTGAAGGACCAGGTAGATCATCAAGATCTTCGTGATCATCGGTATCCTGTAACAATTGTTTTTTATTACTTTTCGGTTTTCGTGCAATACTTTTGTGATAAGTTCCTTTATTGGTTTTAATTAAGACATTTTTATTTTTGATTAATTTAGTAGCTTTAAATTTAGGGAGTTTTTTATCTCTTGATTTAGTTTTAACGTAAACTATTTTTTGTTTTGAATAGTCCGGCGGATCGGACCTTTTTGTGTTCAATTTATTTATTATTTTTTCTTTAGTTTTTTCGTTACGTTCTCTAATTTTTTCGTACAATTGTTTACTAGCTTCTTTGTGATTTTGAACATAGTGGGAAATTACTAAGTGGTACCTAGACGACCACAAATGGATCAGGATTATTTATGTGACCTTCAATGACTTCAAAAGGTATAAATTTGGTAACAGGGTGAATCGAATTATTGTAATTTAAGATTGCGTGTTTTATTATTATTATTTATTTTAATTTTAACAAAATTAGAAGCGTAATTTAAATAAAAATAGGTTTACTTTTATTAGAGCAGTACTTAATAGTTTTTGAATTTTGTTCCTTTTTTCTTAAAGTTTGGAAAACATTTAAATTTTATTTTCTTCCTGTTACATTTATATTTTCCTGGTTTTTTCATTGTGGTTTTAATTTTATTATTTGGCAATGAAAATTCTTTCTTTTCTTTTTTCTTGTATTTATGTATTGTATTTGTTCTAGTTTTAATATTTTTATTTGATAATGTAAATTCTTTTTTATTGTACGAATTTATTTTAGAAAACTTTTTATTGGTCGGCATAACATTTAATTTGTATAGTTGATCGATATCAAATATTTGATCGTCATTTTTAATATCTATTTTTGATCTAATTTAGGAAAATAATCTACTAACTCTTCATGAACTATTTTGTCGATATCATTTATATTTATTTCTAAAGATTCGATTTCTGAAGTATTAATTTCATCCATTTTATTTTGAGATATTGCATTGTCTCCTAAATTATTTTTATATAAATTACTGTTGATTTTTTGTGAATTATTATCACTATTTTCAGTTTCAAAAAGT